GAGAGGACCCCACGTACGAGTCTGGAAGGCGTCAGGGAAATACGAGGCTAAGACAGCGGTGGAAGGTATCGTCTACGAGGCTCCTCACGACTTGGCGAGCAAGGGCGCGAGAGAAAGACGGTGAATTGGAGGCGCCTGGACTGGGGATGCCGGATAACATACGTAACACTAAAAATTTACTCCTTGTATTTTTTTTTGAAATTCAAATTTAACCGGGCGTTTTGTTTGTTTTTATTTTTTGCTAAAACCTGGAAACTTTGGGTCCGCATGCAGGGTTCCTAGCTGTCTGAAAGCTTCAGCTCCAGGAGCTGAAGTTGTCCGACCCCCAGTATTTCCGCTGGGCACCCAGCATTCCCAGTGTCTTCTCAAGACTCTCATATATCTCCCATTGTCCCCGTCACAGTTCTAGTGGTCCTCATTGTCCATATCCCCTCGCTGCTCCGCCTCCACTCCTTTGTCTTCCCCTGCTCTCTTCCCACCGTCCCTCTCCCGTGGTCCCTTGGGGCACGCTAGGGGGAACCCCGGCCGCCGATCCCCGCGCAGGCGCAGAATTACACGGCTTCCCCAGGCCCTGCTGCCACCCCCGCACTGCGGGCCCGCGCGCACGGTTGCCATGGCGAACGCGGGGCCGAGTGGAAAGCTCGGAAAGACCCCCGCGGGCGCTCCCTGCTTCACCACCTCAGCCTAAGCTCCACTCCGGTTTGAGCCGGTTTACCCGCCCCGCCCCCCTGCGCACTGCGGCGGCGAGGATTCCCCGGTCCTGGGAAGGGGGCAGGCGAGTGGTTGCGTGTGCGCGCCAGGCGCGGCGTTCCCCGCCCCTCCTCGACGGGCGCGCCCCGGGAAAGCCCTGGCGCCTTGAGCGAAAGGCTAGCGCAGGCGCAGAGGCTTCCTACGTCTACTCGGCCCCGCCCGGGAGGTGCCCGGTAGTTCTGGCAACACTGAGCGCGGGATGGGCTGGGAGCGCACGGGACTCCCCTCGCACGCCCCCTCCCGCAAGCTGCGGCGAAGCAGGGGATTCCCTGCTGCAGGCGCGCAGGCGCAGGCTGGAATGCCGGCGGTAGAGCCGCAGCAAGAAGGGGCTTTTCTGTAAAAGGAATCCGACGTTACTATTCCATTCATACATCCGGAGATTGAAGGCACCACTCTTAAATCGTGTCCAAACCCCAATCTTTGTTCGCCAGCAGTCCACTTAAGGTCCTCAGCGGAGACGGTCACGCGCAACTCATACACCTTCCCTTCCCTGGTCTCACGTCTGCCATGGCTCCCACACCACAGGGGCAAGTCCCCTCCTCAGCACAGCGTCCGAGGCTTTCTCGCCTGGCTTCCTCCTTCCGGTTTATCGCTCTTTTGCGGAGTCCTTCTTGGAACATGTCCTTCCAGGGCACCACCTCTTTTATTCTCCAGACAGCCTAGCTTCTGAATAGGTTTTTCTTTTGACTTCCCCCCAGGTTAGAAGCCTTAGTGGCGCTGTGGGTTAATTACTGGGCTGCTAGCCTCAAAGCCAACAGTTCAAACTCACCAATTGCCAGAAAGATGAAGGTGTCTGCTTTAGATAATATTTAGTCTTAGAAACCCTAAGTTCTACTCCGTCCTATAGGAGGGCAGTGGTGGCTCACCCAACTTAATGTGTCTAAAACGGAGCTCTGGTAGCGTAGTGGTTATGAATCGGGCTGTGAACCGTAAGGTCAGCAGTTTGAAACTACCAGCTGCTCCGCGGGAGAAAGATGAGGCATTCTGCTCCCGTAACGACTTACAGCCTCGGAAACCCTGTACAGGGTCGCTATGAGTCGGAACTGACTCCACGGCTCATAACAACAACAAGGTGCGCAGTTGAGTTTATCAGCCGCTCCACGGGAGAAAGATGAGGCTTTCTGCTCTCACAAAAATTTGCAGCCTCGGAAACTCTATAGTCACTATGAGTTGGAATCAACTGAAGGGCACTTAACCCTCTTATGATTTATCTTCCCTTCCCGATTTCCCGTGTTAAAGGCCATGGAGTCAGACTCATAACGAGGCTGTATAGGGGTTCCAAGGAGCAGCTGCTGGGTTTGAACTGCTGACCTTGTGGCTCAAACTGACCTTGCCATCCAGCACATTACCCTGCAGTGCCACACCAGGGCTCCACCCCCCTTGTAACCATTAAAAAAATGAAAATTTAGACTTTTTGACTGTTAAAGAGTCTTGTTCAAGGTCCCAGGAGTAAGGGGCAGAGGCAGGATTCGAACCCAAGCCTCTATTTGTGCGGGAAAACATTGGGCATCTCCACTTACATCGAGTTGAGGCATTTTTTTGTCCTGAATTCCTGCTGCCAGCTCTGTTACTTGCCCAGCAGCTTTCCAGGGCTGTGACTGTTTCCCCATCCATAAAGAGAATCCATGTTTCACGACCACCAGACCACCACTCACTCATCTGTCACTTTGGTACTGTGGTGGCTTGTGTGTTGCTGTGATGCTGGAAGCTATGCCACGGGCATTTTCAGTATCAGTAGGGTTACCCAAAGGAGCTCTGGTAGCGTAGTGGTTATGAATCGGGTTGCGAACCACAAGGTCAGCAGTTCGAAACTACCAGGTGTTCCACAGGAGAAACATGAGGCTTTCTGCTCCCGTCAAGATTTATAGCCTCGGAAACCCTGTACAGGGTCGTTATGAGTCGGAACTGACTCCATGGCACCTAACCACCACCAGGGTTACCCAAGGTGGACAGGTTTTACTAAGAGACTTAGGAGAGGCAGACTCTTCTGAAAGTTTACCCACTGAAAACCTTATGAATAGCAGTGGAACATTGTCAGATAGAACGCTGGAAGATGAGCCCATTATATTTGAAGTAAGTTAAAATATGACTGGGGAAGACCTGCCTCCTCAAAGCATAGCTGATGTGAATGGAGTAAAGCTTTTGGGAACTTCATTTGCTGATAGGGCACAACTCAAAATGAGAAACAAACATCCATTAATAATTGTTGTTGTTGTTGTTAGGTGCCATTGAGTTGGTACCAACTCATAGCGACCTTATGCACAGCAGAATGAAATACTGTCCAATCCTGGGCCAACCTCACTGCTGTTGCCACGACAGGGGTAAATCACAGAACCCATCTCACAGCCTTACTAGGCACTCTCCCAGGGCCAACAAAAAGCATAAAGTAATAACAGGGCCGTGGAATATAAAGTGGAGGGTCAGTGACGGAGAGGAAACCCCCCAACAAGATGAACGAGCACAGTGGCAGCAGCAATGGGCTCAAGGGTAACAATTGAGGGGATGGCGTAGGACCGGGCAGTGTTTAGGGTCACTGAGTTGGACCTGACTCAACAGCACCTAACAAGAGTGTCTCACCGAGTTATCCCTTGCTGCCTCTCATGGTTGGGACCTGGTACCCAGTACTGGCCACTCTCCCTGAATGACTGATGGGGACTCTGGTTACTGGTGCCCCCATAGGCTCCTCCCCCCCCTAGGGGTTTCTCCTGGATAACCCATATGCCTTTGTCTCAAGGGTTGGCTCTTGTAGCACTCTAACCTGCAGCTCAAAGTATGTGGTTATTGTCACTTTTAAAATGTCAACTCCCACTGTTTCCTCCAGCCCCTGCACACTCCACTCAAGCTGTACCCAATTATCAGCTGCACCTCCTCCCCAAGAGTTGACATCTCCCAACCTTTCCACAAGGCTCCTTCATCCCTTTCCATTTCTCGTCTTTATGAAGAACTCCTATGCATTCTTCAAAATCCTTCCTCTGTGAAGCCTTCTACCTCCCACCCCACAGCAGACACCAACTTTCTCTAGCCCAGCCATAACCCATGGGGCTGGGGCACTCAAAAAATATCTGCATTCATGACTTGAGATCTGGAGAAGTTTGTTCCCAGCAGGGGGAACCCAGAGCAAGTCCCAATGGGGGTGGGAGGGAAGAGACCAAACCTGCTGTCCCAGGAGCTGAGTCATGAAGGGAAGCAGGAAATACGGGGTAGGAGCGTGCAGGGCTGCTGGAAGGGTGATGATTGTTGGATGGAATGCCAGAGAGGTGAGCTGGGTAAGTCCTTCACCCCATCCTCCCACTCTATGCCTGTTCCCTCCTCTCTTGGCAGGTGACCTCCATTCAAGGTGGGGCTGCCCATGGCCTGAAGTGTAGCATACGCTGAAACACGTTTCATCATTACACAGTCAAACCCAGGTTCACATCTCTTCCTCGATGGCTTTCCAAATGGGCAGCTTTGGATGGTCCCCTCAATTCTCCAGGACTGGACCGGGCACCTCCAGTTTGGGAGTAATAGCAGCAGCACTGACACTTCTACTGTCAAGTTCCCTGGCCAGCTCTGAAATGCAGGCTCAGGAGGCTGAGAATCTGTCTGTGGCTCTGCCTCTGATGCGCTGTGCAACCTCGGCCAGTGGGTTGACCTCTCTGAGCCCAGGCTCTTTTAGCAGTTCCAGCAAGGCTACTGTGGACATTTGTATCAGTCACTGGACTGGGTACAGACATTTGTAAACAGCCCAGTCAATGAGGAGGCACCTTTTGTTAAGCTACACTGAGGCCTCTGGGGAGATTAACAGCCCAGCTCTGCAAAGCTCAATAGTGACCCTGGCTTATCCACCTCACTGAGACTGTCTGGGTCCCTGCTTTTTTCCATGTGGTATCCCAGTGTAAATGGGTCGGAATCAAATCGACAGCACTTAGAGACAACAACAACATCCCAGTGTCGAATCAAGTAGGCACTATGGGTACAGAGTCCCCCTTTCCCAGTCCCACATAGTAACTCCCTCCCACTCATCCATCTGTCCCCAAGGCCCTCCTTGCCCCCTCCCATCCGCCCCAGCCCCTGGCCACTCCAGTCCACACGCATCCACACACCTGCCTTTATTGGGAGCCCATCCTCGGGCTCTTCTTGTACCTGGGTCGCTCAGTGCAGGGACACTCCACGGGAGGACGGGTTATAATGCGTGGAGCCCCAGGCCCATGACGGACACCCGGCCTCTCCTGACCCCCTTGTCCCCCTTGGTGCGCCCAGCTGGCCGCAGATGGCTCCCAGTCCAGGGGTGGGTGCCTCACTTTGGGGCATTGAAGGGCACAGCCCGCTGGTTCATGGGGTTGTCGGGTGAGCGCATCCACTCCTTCTTGAGTAGCTGCTTCAGCTGTGACAGTCGCATGTTGGGGTTCTCTAGCTTGAGCCTTGGCAGCTGCGCCTCCTCAAAGGCTGTGAAGGCTGCCCGCATGCGCCGCTCAGGGTGCCGGTCAGCCGCCTCCTCAGCCACACTGCAAGGACAGGGACGTCAGTGGTCTGGGGGCGCTGGCAGGGTGCAGGGAAGGGAGACTCCCAGCATCTTATGCTCCTTACCTGAGCACGGCGATGGCATCCTCTACAGTGCGTGCCTCCACGCTGCCCTCCTCCAGCACGCGCCGGTTCACGTTCTCCTCCAGTGGTACCTCCAGGTGGCTCCGGGCCTTCTCGGCTGGGGGTGCAAAGAGGAGGCGGCAGGAGAGAATGACAGGAGTGGGGGAAATGAGCTGTGAGTGAGAAGGCCTCCCTAAGGGGGTCCTGTTCAGTTTCCACTGCCCTCCCTCCCTACCACCGGGCTCTCGGGCAGTGCTGCCATCCGGGACCTCAGAGGATAAAGCTGAGGGTGTTGTGGATGCCCCGTGCTGTGAGTGGGGCAGGCAGAGACACCCTCCCATTCATCCTCCTCTACCACAGGGGTCCGGGAACTTGGCTGAGGACAGGAGGAGGCTCTGGACTGGGCTGGATTGGTCAGGGTCCAGTGGTCAGGCTGCTGTCTTGTGCCTACCTGGCTCTGGGGTGTCACGGTGCTGGAGGTCACGGCGCAGTGTCTCCTCGATCTGGGCACGGGTGACCTTGCCGGGTGCTGCTGCCCGCGGGGCCTTGCCCCCCTTGAGCTTCGAGTCCTCCTCCTCCAGCAGCCGCTGTGTCTCCTTTTTGCGCTCTAGCTGCTCCAGGCGCCGCTTCTCCTTCTCCTCCTGGGGGGATGGATGGGCATTCTGGGTGCTTCCCACAGCTGTGATCCCAGCTCAAGATGGACCTGGGCTCTGCCTTGCCAAGGGGGAGCACGCCCATCCTGAACAAGTTCAGGAAGCAACGGGGTACCTCAGCTAGGGTGGAAACCTCTCAGAGAAGGGGTAGTAACTGGACTATGAAGGAGAAGGCGGAGCTGGCCAAGGGAGACCAGGCAAGAGCCTGGCAGCTGCAAAGTCCCTGGGATGGGAACCACCTGGTATGACTGAGGAACAGGGAATGCTGGTGTGGCTGGAGCTGCATTCAGGGACTAGTGGAAGAGAAGGGAGGTAAGGAGGGCAAACCTGGAAGAGGAAGAGACCTCCCAAGCAGAGAGCTTGTATCCATGGGAGGAAATGTCTGGACCTATTTGCATCAAGGAAGGGACTCTGGAGTGAGGTGGCCTGAATGAGAATGACCAGGAGGCCCATCCTGACCCCCTCAGGATCCCAAGGGCAGCCCCAGTCTTGGACTGTCCCTCCATCTTAGGCCTGGCCTATGCCCAGACCCCATGTACTGTCCAGTTTTCACCCTTGCCCAGCAGTTCCTGGGAAGGGGTCCCCACATTCATGGGATGTGTCCTTACATCTCCAGACCTAAAACAAAAGCCACACCTACTGCCACTGGGTTAACTACAACTCAAGGTGACCCTGGTGTCTCAGAGTAGAACTGACTCCACAGGGTTTTCTTGGCTGTGACCTCTGGGAAGCAGATCACCAGGCCTTTCTTCAGGGTGCCTCTGGGTGGAGCTCAGTTCCACTCTGTAACACACTGATTGGCTCAGCCCAAGTCGGATTCAACTTGACAAATTTTTGCTTTGTTTTGTCCTGGGCCTCCTGCCTTCACACAATAGGGTAAATGAGCTCAGAGGTGTGGGAGACCAGTGTGGCCCTCTCCCTCCTCTGGCTCCTGGGATACTTACTGAGTTCCCCTCTCCATCAGCTGGGCTTGGGTGACCATGCACTGAAGAATTAACTAATGAATGGATGAATGGGAGGCGCCACTCGGGAAGGAGGCAGATTACGGGGCCTCAGCATTTATTACCAGGGAGCCGGGCCTGACTTAGGGCTTTTGTTCCCATCCTTCCACATGACTTCATGTTCCATGCCCATTTACATTTGACAATCAGCAAAATGAAAACAGAAAGCAGGAGAGACACTCTTATTTCTTAAAAGAGGGCAATTAACTGTTGGCACTGTCTATGGATGGCTGAAGGATGAGTACACTGATGGAATATTCTGGAACCACCCAGAATCATTCTGATGAATAACTGAGCTAGAGCCCACAGAGAAGGAAGTCAGGCTGTGTAGGACAGCATTACACCATGGGCACAGCCTCAGGTTCAGTGTCAGGGATGTGGCCTCCGTGTCATGCCTGGGCAGGTGCACTAGTGGGGAGCCTCAGAGAGGTCTGCAGTCAGCTTGAGTTTCCTTTTTTCCATAAAGATAGTATCTTAAAATACCTCGAAAAAAGCTCTGATGTGAAGGTGCTTTATCAAGTTCATGGCAAATTCTACCAGCTCTTAATTCCATTTTCCATGAACTTTTTGAAACTTGTATATTTCAAAAGTGGCTCTCAAGTGAGCAAACCACAAGGCAACAGGTGTGGGCTTCAGAGAGGTGGTGGGGACAGTGCCCCTGTGTGCTCATATGGGGCTGGGGGGAGATAAGCAAGTCAGAAAAACTGCACAATGGAGAAGAACCAGCCCACGAACACAGCACATTTGAGCAAGGGGCGCTGATGTTCAAGGACAGTGTTGATACAGGGGGTTCACAGTCAGGAGAGGGGTTGCCAAGGGGAAGGAGTTACTTGGCAGGGGGCAGGAGGGAGTCCCTGGGGATAGGAATGTTATAGATCAGGGATGGCAAAGCGCCATCCACCACCTGTTTTTGTAAATTGAGTTTTATCAACACACAGCCATTGCTATCCATGCATGTACTGTCTGCAGCTGCTTTAGTGACAAGGGCAGTCGTGGCTCAGTGGTAGAATTCTAGCCTTCCATGTGAAAGACCCTGGTTCAAATCCTACTCAATGCACATTCGGGGTAGTCCCCACCTATCTGTCTGTGAAGGTCTGTGTGTGGTTGGAATGCTGAAGAAGGTTCAGTGGAGTTTCTAGACTACGATGGATTAGGAAGGCAGGCCTGTGATCTCCCTTTGAAAAGCAGTCACTGAAGAGCCTATGGATCACCATGGATGGATCACAGCAGATCTCAGGGTGGAGCAGGAGTGGGTCAACTTGATGGCAGTAACAACAGCAACTTTACCGGTGAGGCCACGTGCCACACAGGTGAGCAGACAGGTAAGTGCCACTCATCTACACCCGGGATGTGCACACTTTCTGGCAGGCCCACAGCTCTGGCTTCTGCCCACCCAGCCACTCCACACAGCCCTGTGACCTGGGCTCCTGAGTTCTGTCCTCTGTGTGCCCTAGGCTCTCATCTGGAGGACAACGACTGAGAAGTCTGCCTCGGGGAGGGCTCCCCTTGCCCTGGGCCATTGTTGCAGAACAAAGGTCTCCAGTGTCTCTCTGGCTGGATAATTCATGTTTGGTGGGCTGTGCTTTTCGGTTTGGGTTTTCCACGGTCCCATAGCAATGTAGGACTCCTGGTATGGTGTTGTAGGGTCAGCAGTGAACTGCAAACTGTCGACAGTTCAAACCCACCAGCTGCTCTTCGGAAACTGTATACAGGGTCACTATGAGTCAGAATCTACTTGATGGCACTTAGCGACAACCACATAGTGCTGTAAAGAGCAGGCTTTCTGCTCCTATGAAGGTTTACAGTCTCAGAACCCTATACACACCCCCTGGAGTCTGAATCAACTCAGTGGTGGTGGGTCTGGCTTTATGGTCTGTTGTTATTGTTGTTAATGTGTCGTGGAGTCGGTTCCAACTCATAGCGACCCTGTTCAGGGTTTCCGAGGCTGTAAATCTTTACGGGAGCAGAAAGCCTCATCTTTCTCCCACAGAACAGCTAGTAGTTTCGAACTGCTGATCTTGCGGCTCACAGCCCGATTCCTAACCACTACGCTACCAGAGGTCCTTTATGGTCTTTATATAGGGTCACAAAGGAGTGCTCATGGCACAACGGTAAAGCACACGGCTCCTCCTCCCTGAACGACGGTGGACGGTTCAAAGCCACCCAGCAGCTCCGTGGGAAAAAGGCCTCGATCTGTTTCCATAAAGATTACAGTCAGGGGACTAACAGAAGAAGATATAAACCGGGACCAGAAGGAAAAGATGGAACGACTATCTCTTTGTCATGACACTGGAAGAACTGGTATCCGGCTACTATTGCTGAGCATTTTGATCAAAGACTTGATAGTAAAATTCTGATTAAAAGGGAGGGAATATGTAATTTCAAATTCTCATGGAATTTAGACTTTCTGGAGTCACTGAGGCTGAATGAACACACAAAGTGTTGCTTTGAGATAATCTACAAACTAAAACTATCCTTTAAAGTCTTCTTAAAACCAAACAACACTACATTAGAAGCCAAGAATGTGTGCCTTCAGCATTGTCTTCAACAATAAAATGTAAAATGATTTAAAAAAAGACGGCAGCCAGGAAACCCCTATGGAACCATTCTACTTTATCCCATGGGATTGCTCCAAGTTAAAAATGGACTTGACTGCACCTAACAACAACAAAACCACACCAATACACCAAGCCTGACTCATTCATAGCAACTCTCTAGGACAGAGTAGAACCGCTCCACAGGGTTTCCGAGGCTGTCTATCTTTACAGAAGCAGACGGCGACATCTTTCTCCCATGGAGTGGATGGTGTGTTCGAATCGTCAACCTTTCAGTTAGCAGTTGAGTGTCTAACCACTATACGACCAGGGCTCCTCATGCCAATGTCAAAGGTCCCTGGGTGGTACAAATGGTGTGCGCTTGGCTAGTCACTAAAATGAGAAGAAACAGCTACCTGCAAACATCCATTAATAATCAGAACATGGACTATACGATATGAATCTAAGAAAATGGAAATTGTAAAAAAAGAAATGGAATGTTGATGGTTCAAATACTCCAGGGTTGCTATGAGTTGGAGCCATATCAAGAGCACTTACCAACAACAAGGCAGGTCAGTTACTACCACTGTTACTCAAATTGACACACCTCCACTAAAGCCAGTGAGGATAAAATGACAGAATTCCACCAATACTCCATTTGAAATTGATCAAACATGCAATGATAATCAAGATGCAATGATAATTACTGGTAACTGGAATGAGAAAGTTGGAAACAGAGGTCAATAGTTGATCAAAGACTTATTAATTGCAAATACCATTTTTCAACAACATAAAAGGTGACTGACTATACATGCAGGCCACCACTTGTCTGACAGTTTGATGTCCTATGGTGGCCTGTGTGTTGCTGTGATTCTGGAAGCTATGCCATGGGTATTTTAAGTACCAGCAGGGTCACCCATGGAGGACGAAGACAGACTAGGAAGAAGGAAATATGGACAACTTCTGAATATTTAGTCACTGAATACCTTACGGACAGCAGTGGAACACTGTCAGCATCAGAACACGGAATATTGAAACATGATGGCGAGAATCAGAATATTGTCACATACAGTGCCAGAGAAGGAGCCCCTCAGGTTGGAAGGTATTCAAAATACAATTGGGGAAGAGCTGCCTCTTCAAAGTAAAGTTGACTGTGATGATGCGAATGGAATAAGCTTCTGGGATCTTCATCTGCTGATGGGGCACAACTCACAATGAAGAGAAACAGCTGTATAACTCCAGTAATAATCAGAATATGTTGTTGTTGTTGTTAAGTCCCGTCGAGTCAGTTCTGACCCATAGTGACCCTGTACAGGGTTTCCAAGGAGCAGTTGGTGAGCTTGAACTACCAACCTTGCAGTTCAAATGGCTTTGCAGTCTGGCGTATTAACCCAGTACCACACCAGGACTCCTATCAGAACATGGAATGTACTAAATATGAATCTATACCTTC